CTTGTTGCCATACCATCCCAACTTGCCAATCCCCAAACTTGAAACTCGGGGAACTATTGAGCCCTGCTGTTGAAGGTCATATTGTGGATTTAATTAATTATTCCCCCTGCAAGTTCAGACACTTTAGGCCTCAGAAAGGGTCTCATCGCTGCTTTGGCAATTCTTTTAACCTCTAATTGAATTCTTGTTTCTCCCCCCATCACATAAGTGACAAACCCTCTATGTTCTTTAGCTGACCTCATCTCTTGCTGTGTTGAAAAGTTAAAAGTCATCTTCTTGAATCTCCTATAAATTCCCCTCTCATCACCTTATGATGTCTGTTTTCACCCATCCATCTTCTTGTCCAAAGCAAATCCCTCTAATTGAGCCTTTCTCAGGAGCCTTAGTGCCCCATTATGCTTCTGTGTCTTATGCATGTGGTTTTCATTGGCTCTTCCCCTGCCCCCCACCCCAAAGACCTGCTCCAGTCTCTTTATTTTAAAACACCTTGCATCCCTGTTCCCCCCTGATACTACTATCTTCTTTCTTCTCCTTCTTTGCCAGACTTCTTTTAAAAAATTAGTCCACACATGCTGCTTCCACTTCCTGTCTATTCACTCCTTTACTTCTTGTGGTCTGACTTCTGTTCTCTATTGAAACTATTCTTTCACTGCTCAATTCCAGTGGCCTTGATTGAGCCCTCAACTTTTTAACTTCTCTGCAGCTATGCGGTATTGTTGATTACTCCTTCCTTCCTTGTAACTTTCTCCATGCATTCTTGGCTCTTCCACTTCTTTCTGCCTCTTGCCTTTATTACAGTTTATTTTTTTCCTTCCTACTTTCTTATTTCCCCAGAATTTTGTCCTCGCCCTCTTCTTTCTCAGCTGTCAGTTGCTTTCCAATTCTATAGCTCTGTTCCTGATTTTTCATTTTTCATTCATTGACTGTTTCAGAGCCTGCTGTGTGTCAAGGACTTTGCCAGGTGCTAGGATATAATGGTGCGTACAGCAGACAGTCTCTCCCTCATGAAGCTTTAGTTCTGATGGCATTGACAGACATTAATCAGATAATCACACCAGTTGCATGGGAACAGTACAGGGGTGCGACAGTTTGAGGAGCCCGCAAAATTGTCCTGAAAAAATGCTGCTTGACCCATAGTCTGAAGAACAAATAGGAGTTACCTAGATGCTGGGCAGAGGCTGAGTTGAAGAGAATAAGCTGAGAAAACAGCATATGAGAGGCCCTGAGACCAAAGGGATCATGTGAAAAGGTGATAGTGTGGCTGGGTTGGGGGCTAGGAAAGAGGTGAGAGATGAGCAAGAGAGGCAGGTAGTGGCCAGAGGTGTTTAGAGGTGAGCAGTGAGAAGCTGCAGAAGTGGTTTAAGCAGAGGAATGATAATATCAAATTTACTTTTGTGAAAGATCACTCAGGCTGCTGTTTGGAGGGCAGATTGTAAGTGGAGTAGTAGTAGCTACAAAGAGGCCGCTGTGCCTATTCCAGTCATCCAGAGAAGGTTCTGGTAGAGTTGGAGAGAGGTTAACAGATTGGAGATTGATTTAAGAGGTAAACATGAGAGATTGGATTAAGGATAATGGAGAAAAGGGATGACAAGGATGACTCCTGGGTTTCCAGCTTTGGTAACTGGATGGATGGAGTGCCAGCCATGGAGATAGGAAGGTATAGTTTGGAGAGAGAAACATCACATGTTTAGTTCTGGACATTTTGAGTTTGAGGGGCCTTTGGGATCTCTTCCAGTTCTGTATTTCCAGCTGCCTCCTGGATATCTGTTCTTGAATAATTTATTATAATCTCAAATCCAGTGTGTCTAAAACTGACAAGGTTAATCTTCCTCCTGAACCTCCTCGTACGTTCTTTACATCTCTTGGTGGTTGTCCCAGACACTTGAGTCTAAGTCTGAGTCATCTTTAATTCTTCCCCAGTGGCTCATCTCCTTTTGCTTTCCACCTCAGTCACTTTCCACTTTCTTTTTTTTTCTATAAATATGTTTTTATTGATTTCAGAGAGAGGAAGGGAGAGAGAGATAGAAACATCAATGATTAGAGGGAATCATCGATTGGCTGCCTCCTGCACCCTCCCCCCCCTAGGGACCGAGCCCCCCAACCCAGGCATGTGCCCTGACCGGGAAT